GGCAGATTGCTTTGAGCCAAGCACTGTCATCCAGCCGCCTTTATGGCAGGCCGCACAGTGGACGATCGACGTGTAGTGTCAGCCTCAGCTGACGCCAAGCGTAACGGCCTTGGCGAGGGGTGTAGATTATACACGTGTAAAGTATTGTCCCCTTGTGTGCACCTTTGGATGACTGCTGCTACTAGTGCTCTGGTAGGGAAAAGAGTCGACCGTGTGCCATGGTACAACCCTGCTAACACTTAACGGCATATACAACATCAGTGCGTGGGATCTGAGTGGTTACACCCAACTATAAGGATCCTTTATACACGAGACAGTGTGCACTTTGGTTCTCAGAACCCAGGCCGTTCCTTTGGAGGTAAAGGCAACCTGGATTGGAGATACCGAGAACTTCAGGGAAGGTGTGATTAGGATTTTTAGGGTTTGGGTTCAGGGGCTATGTGGCGGCGTTTAGAGTTTTCGGGTTGCGGGGTTTAGGGTTTAGGATTTTTGTGTTCAGGGTCCTCGCCCATGTTGCCGTCAAAACATGTTCACTGGCACGCCTGGTGTTGCATGCAGGTTTCACAATGAAGAAGTGCCAAAGGTGGGACTGCACCACAGCTTGCCACATTCGTTTTGGCCGCAGTTTCCTTAGCCGCTTCCTGGAAGCCCTGGCGTTGCAGAGAATTTTCGATACCCCTAAACCCTGTGAAGCCTCAATCCTGAACCTGACCCCTAAACCCTAAACCCTAAACCCTAAACCCCAACCCAGAATCCTCAAAACCCTAAATTCTAAAGCCGCTTTGTTGTGCAGGCGGCAGGGCTGGCCGAAGTATCCCGAAGGGGGCCGCCCGGAGGCCTTGACGTCTCTGTCAACATGTGGGAATCCCGCCTACAATTATTTTGTTCCTGTGCTAGGGAGGGGCTCAGGCAAACTCCAAGCCCTACACCCTGATATCCAATTGGAGGCTTGCTTATCACATAAGCTTTTCTGAACCTCGCTCTGCTACATGCAGCGACGCGAGTGACAAACGTTCTAACGCTCTCAACCCTAAACTCCGCCTGTCTGACTTGGCGTCCGGGACGGGCGAATCGATTTGACCTTCCCACCCGGTGCTGGCGTAATGGAGCGCAGGTTTTGCCCCATTGGCTGTACCAGCCTGGGGACAACTTAAACTAAACCCCAAAACTCTACATTCTAAACTCTAATCCCTAAGCAATGGGAACTTGGTCGAAGTGGGCAGTCAGAGCAAGTGGGAAAGGTGAGGCCAGGAGTCACAATCACACGCAGGCGGCTGCCTCTGGCATCGAAAGTGTCGGCTGTTCCAGCTTTGTTGCGCGGCACGGACTACTCCCCGTAACCTTTTCATGGACGTCCACTAGGGCACCTTTTAATACTCCTCCATTATGGCATGGAGTACTCCCCGTAACCTTCTAATACTCCTCCACTCCCCGTAACCTTTAAAAGTCCTCCACGAGGGCACGGAGTACTCCCCGTGACCTTTTAAAGTCCTCTACAGGGCAAGGACGACTCCCCGTAACCTTTTATTAGGGCATGGAGTACTCCCCGTAACCTCTTTGACAGTCCCAGCAGGGCACGGAGTACTCCGCGCAACCTTTTCAATGGCACGGAGTACTCCCCGTTCTTTTTCAGAGTCCTCCACTCGGGCAACAGTAGAAAATTAATTTCCGGGGAACTAACTTACTTCGCAACGTGGGCCATGTGAAATCCCGTTTTGGTAGAAGCTTAGCGGGCCCCAGGTCGAAACTATAATCCTCATGATGTATTACTACTCTTGCTACTGTTAGTATGGTCATTATTACTAGTGTTATTATTGCTATTGTTATTATTATGAATATTTTTGATTCTCATTATTGTTATTGTATTATCCATGGTCATTGTTAATATGATATGTTTCAGCATGCTGCAGGAGGTGGTGCAGGAGTGGCCTGCATTGGAGCGGGGCGAAGTCGTGCAGCTCTTGGTGCAGACCAGGTGCGCAGCAAGTTCCCGGGTAACTTGCAGAAGGAAAAGGGCTGCTAAGACTTTGGGGTTTAGGGGGTTTAGGGCATAAACCCTAAACCCTAAACTTTCCTAAACCCTAATCCCTGAACCCTGAAGCCTAAACCCTAAAGTTACGATTTTGATGTAAGGGCTTGGGATCTGGAGCCGTTTCGAGGGATGTCTCGACCTCAAGGGCCTGGGTTTGAGCTTGCCTCCGATTACTTGTTTGGGTTTAGGGTCTTGGGCTTAGGGTTTAGGG